TTTTTTTTTTTTTTTTTTTAGGATGCAAAATTAAGAACTGGTTCCTCTTCATTCAATAATTTAAAAAGTTTGGAGAAGCCACCGAAGAGAAGAAACTTCAAAAACGGTTGTTCCTCGCTATGTTAAATCAGTTTCCATGCAGCCAACGTCAACTAAAGCTTCTTCGTTTTAGACGATACTGCATTGATAACAATAGATTATGCTCTGTCCACGATAAAATTACGGCTTACCAAATACTGTATTTGGTACACTTTCTTCTCGAATTTAATTCAGGCCTAAAAAATAATCAGTTCTACTGGTTGTTCGAATTGATGTATACGATCGTTGAACCAATTAACTGCTCTTTGGTATCCATCTCAGTCAAAGTGGATTTTTTTCAAAGTTGATTGCTTAGTTGCCTGAACGTTTGAGCTACTTTAATTGTTGACCAGGTCTGTCAGCAACTATTTGCTTCGTTGACAGATCTGAATCTGTCTGCGGGGTTCCTTTCATCTGACCAAATGAAATCTGGGTTACAGTTCATCCTTTTTTTTTTTTTCTTTGCCAACAATTCAGATAATTTAGTTTTGACAAATAACACTATGCATCTGCGCTATATTACTCTAAAACAAAAAAAAATTTTCTTGTTATTGTCAAATTTTTTGTCCAAAACTTTATCACTTACTGTATGTTTACTGTGAATTCTTCAATAGTGTTTTAGTTCACAATTTAGAGGCTAAATTCACGGCTAAAAAAAACGAAATTTAAGGTTTTGAAAGTAACACATGTATAAAATTTTCTTGTAAAATATTTTTACTGTTTTTTTTTCTAGTTTTTTTTTTTTTTTTTTGACTTTAAACTGTAATTTTTTCGTCTGCTTTTTTCTGTTGTTTTAACCCAATTTACATCATTCATTTTTTCTATTATTTAACTACCTATAAAACATATGAGATGTCAAACAAAAAAAAAAGAATGAAAAGAAAAAACGAGTGTGCAATTTTGAAGAGATTAAAATAATAAATTTTTTTTGTTCAATAGTTTATGATGTTTTGAACAGCTATTTTTGTTGTATATAAACGCAAAATGTTGACAAAAAAAACTGCAGAAATGCAGAAATTTGCAGAAATACTGTACATTTTTTTTTTTTTTTTTGAATCACAAATGAAAGATTGTTGTTTTTAAGACAAAAAAAAAAACTTTTTTCAAAATTTAACGATTATTCAAAACAACAATAGAGCAGACACTAAACCTGTTCTAACTTGAGTCTAGCTTAATCCAGTTATGCTTCTAATAAACATCTCTGAAGGTTCTAAGGTAACAGTGAATGTACATAGCACTGGTTTCGCTTTCGTTCCTTATTCTTTGATAATTCTTTTAAGAATAATATTTTTGAAACAGTTTAGCTCCAGAATATTTCTGAAGAAAAAAAAAAAAAAAAAAAAAAAAAAAAAAAAA